AAGCACAGACGAAGACAGCTTGAGCCCAGGTGGCATGCATCCTCACTCGAGATTGACTGCCAACTACATCACCAACAATGCCAGCATGTGATCTCGCTGATCCGTAAGGCCAAAAGAACCCATTACTCAGAAATAGTCTCCAAGTGTTCCGTTGATCAAAAACAACTGTTTCGTTTCGCCAACAAGCTTCTCCATAGGAATAAGGAATCTTCTTCACAACAAGTACGATTCCGACAAGTCACTGGCTGACCATTTCAGCCGTTTTTTTCACGTCCAAGATTTCTTTGATTCGTGATGCACTACCTCTCCTTGTGCCAGATACAGATACTTCTACCCCGACCCCGCCAACACAAACTACACTGACCAGTCTCCGTTCTGCCTCTCAAGATGAGGTTTGCACTGTCATCTTCAAATCCCCAGCCAAATCATGTGACTTGAACCCTATACCAACCTGGCTCCTTAAGCAATGTTCTGAATCCATCGTTCCTGCCATCACCACGATTATCAATCGCAGCCTGCAATGCAGTGTTGTTCCTTCAGTTTTCAAAGTTGCCCACATGTGTCCAGCATTGTTAAAGAACTCCAAAACTACCACCCAGTTTCCAACTTGCCGTACATCTCAAAGTTACTTGAGCGTGTTGCTATCCCCAGGCTGTCGATGCATTTACGGAATAATGATCTATTGGATAGTCGCCAATCTGCAAATCGTCAGAACCATAGTGTAGAAACATTACTTGTTCATCTGTCCGCGACCACATCCTACGACAGATGGATGTTGGCAAAGTAACAGCGCTTGTGCTTCTCGATCTGTCATCAGCATTTGACACCATAGATCACGCCATCCTGATCTGTCGCTTGCACTCTTTGGGAGTGCACGATGCAGCCTTGCAGTGGTTTGACTCATACCTTGCAGACCGGCAACAGTCTGTTAACTTCAATGGATTATTATCTGCCCCTACCTCCCTTGACTGTGGTGTTCCTCAAGGATCTGTTGGCGGTCCCATGTTATTCACCATCTACATTTTACCACTCGGCCAGATCATCCAGAAACACAACCTTCAATATCACTGCTATGCTGATGACATACAGCTGTATCAATCCTTCAATCCATCTCAACCCAATGCTGTGTCTGCCCTGGAGAATCTCGAGGCTTGCATTGATGAGATCAAGACATGGATGATGACAAACAGTCTCAAATTGAATGACAACAAGTCTGAATTTATCCTGTGTGGCTCAAAATAACAACTCGCCAAGTTCAATATCACCAGCATTAGGATTGGAGATTGCCACATCCATCCTTCCACCAAGTGTCGCAACCTAGGTGTCACTTTTGACCCCCACATCGCTTTCAAGTCACTACAAGGAACTTCACCGGACTATATAATGGACATTATCTCGAAATATCAGCCGTCACGTAGTCTTCGTTCGGCCGGAGTGCTACAGCTTACTGTTCCCCGCACCAATCACTCTTGGGGAAACCGGTCTTTCTCAAGCGCCGCTCCCAAACTCTGGAACAATCTACCCCTTGAAATTCGCCAGTCATCATCATTGTCTGTATTTAAATCTTCTGTGAAAACTCATATGTTTACCTCACGTTTTTGTGTTTAAAGAGTTGATGTTTATTACTCCTGTCACTAATTTCTGTTATTCAAATTCAACTTGATTTATACTGTAATTGTTTTGTATGTATTGTGCGCCATGAGCGTCTTGCTTGGCGGATATCGGCGCCTTATAAATGTTCATTATTATTATTATTGTTATTATTTCCAAACATGTGTCAAGAGACCCATTTTTGGAAATGTCTGTGAATTGGTCCCCCCCCATGCATTGCTATTTGTACTTGGTTTGCAATAGGGCTTGCTCAATGACGTCCAAATCTGTAGGAGAGCTGCAACTGCGTATTTTACGCAATATATCATGCATCGCGCAGTGTTGAAAATGTTCCAAACATGTGCGCTTATTGCTTGAAATGTTTTTCGAATGTCGACGCGGCCAATGCCCGTTATGCAATTGGATGCTCAGTATGTTGATGCACGCGGCTGGTCTGTAGGAAATGACGTCATTTTACAAGACCTATTGGGGAATGCAACCTTCTCGCATGCTGCCAATTTCCAAACGTGTGTCAAGTAACACATTTTTGGACATTTCTGTGAATCCTCCTACTCCCCTACGTGTTCTAATTTGTACTTAATTCACGAATGGTTGACAACCTTCTGGCATGCTGTCAATTTGCAGAAAACAAAATAAGATCCTTTCCAAAGATGTGTCAAGTGACACATTTTTGGAAATTTCTGTGAATCTGCCACCTCCCGAATGCGTTCCAATTGGTACCGGTACTTAGTTTGCAATTGGGGGAATCCTCGAATGGTTGACAACTTTTTGCCATGCTCTCAATTTGAAGAAAACAAAAGAAGATCATTTCCAAAGATTTGTCATGTGACACAGTTTTGGAAATTTTTGTAAATCCCCCAATGCGTTGTTACAATATGGGAAGCTACAAATGAATGACAACCTTCTCGCATACCTTCTTGCGTGTCAAGTGACACATTTTTGAAAATTTCTGTGAATTGGCTCCTCCCCATGCTTCTAATTTGTACTTGGTTTGCAATTTGGGAATCCACGAATGGGTCCAAACCTTGCATGCTGTTAATTTCCATAGATGTTCATAGGAGTTATTAAGGAAAATTCTGTGAATCTGGCCCCCACGGCAGTTCCACATGCATAGCGCGCACACACACAAAGGTTCTGTAATGCGTTAGTTCTGTATTTGTGAACTCCAATGATGCCGGTGACGTCACACAACATGGCGCTGTCCACATACAGAAAAAAACATTGATGTTTCGTCCCAAAAAATGTCAAAATTAGACACTTTAGAAATACGTTTTATTATCATAAATGACAGGCAATGACGGGATATGATGTTTTCTTTAGGAAATAAATGAGAAAGGGGTATAATTTATATGCCAAGGTGTGTTTTAGGGGAATTTTTGCCAACATTTTTGCAATGCGGGATGAATGTATTTGCGTATCGAAGACTTTTAAAAGCCCTTCAAGAAAAGCGAAACGCAGTTTTTCAGAAGAAATCTGTATGTTGATACCATTATTCAGTTATGAAAGTAGCCAAATCATACTTTTTCTTGGTCGGGTCGACATTTTAAAATAAAATATAGACGTTGAAAGTCAGCCTACAATTCCAAAGCTTCGCTGAGAATTCGGGCTGCTGCATCGCTGGTTCATGATCTAGTATCCCACTAATACATGCAAACTGGCGCGCGGGTACCAACTGGCCTAGCGCCGCGTGTGTTGTGTACACAAAAGCGCCGTACAACGTGTACACATGTACATATGTGTACGTAAAACCATCGCATTTTACGGACAATCGCAAGACATTGAATAAAATTTTAAAATACATAAAATGCAAAACAGATTACATAGAAATAAAGAACCATCTGTCTTTAGATGAAAACACTCACTGTGGACAAAATAAACACACAATCGGAAATTCACAAATGTTTAGTGTTGTACAGTGAGTGAGTGAGTGAGTGTTGTACAGCATATTAAAGCAGCACAATCCAAAACCAAGCATGAATTTGCCATCAGTATGAGACACTCTATCCTCTTAATATTCTGGGGGAAGTTGCTGACAATTAATTGGATCTATAGCTTAAACAAAACAATAACAAATAGGTTTTTGTTTGGCAATAAACGCATTCTTTATTTCACAACCAATCCATATCATTTAAAAAAAAAATTTCATTTACAGTTAGTGAAACTTCACAACAGCCATATTTTACAAGTAAATAAAGTGCACATGTAATGCAGGCACGAACTCAACCAGTGAAATCAGGTTTGGCAAGTGATAAAACTATGAAAAGTCTGAAAAATTAAATAGGGTAGTTGCAGTTGATTCAAGAAAGTGATTCAAAAATTTAACTTTATGAAACGGCAAATGGATTTAAGCATACCCTCACACCTGAAGACAGTAAAGGCTTTTTTAATATTTATTTATTATTAATATTTTGTTGGAGAATGGAGTTTGCAGTTCAACTGCACTATTTCATGAGTGGTGGTGATGGCAATTTCAGGTTTCAAATTTTTGCTTCATTAAAATTTCACATACGTACGTGTACACGTACCTGGATCGGACCTGCACCAGATTTACAAAGCACATCACTTCACAATTTGATGCAAACACAGTCCACTGTGAAGTTCTTTTCCAGTGTGAATGCATCATACATCGTCAATTTTGTTAAATATTTTAGAAAAGTTTTCACAAGTACAATTGACGACTCTTTGTTGACTTTTCGACGACTATATACTGTTCTTTGAATAAATATATAACATGAAAATACATGTACATGTAGTCACCTTTTGTCCTTTGAATACACTACGACGTGTCGCACTTACAGCATATTTTGTGAAATGAATCACAGGATGTGTCATCCTAGGGATACAACGATGCATCGTAGGCTACAATAAGTGTCGTGAAATCAGGTACAGATTGTCACCGTCACTACGACACTCTCGCACCCGTGTGTGCACTGTACGTGCGCGTGTTTACAGAACCGGGATATTTTGGGTTTTACAAAGTGACATCCGCCACAGTGCGGCACTTTTAGAGCGCACCCCGTACATTTTTGTTTTCACGAACTGACACCCAAGCATGATGCGGCAATACATCTATCCGTGTACTTGTGCGATTATACATGTACAAATTTTTCATTAAAAAGCGATTTAATTGGTAAAATTAAGATCAGTGTCAGTTCGTGAAACCGAAAATGCATGGGTGCGCTCTAAAAGTGTCGCACTGTGGGGGATGTCAGTTATCTCCTAAATTCCCAAACTATCTCAATTCTCTCAACCCCCCCCGCCCCCCCTCCGGCAGTAAGATATTCATTTATATATGAAATGTTTACGTCAACTATATTATTCAAGCATCTGGGACAGGGAGGCAGCGAACAGACTACACCTACCATTCCCAATTCAGATCACACTAAAAATACATGTACTCCACACCATGGACTATTTAGAAAGGTTCAGAGTGGGGGTTGGGCTGTTTGAATGAACATGGCCATGTCATGGCATGGTCAGGAACTGATACGGAGTTCAATCGCAATGGGTGGGTAGTACAGATCAGATGCGGAGGAATCCAAAGCTCGTCCATTATACGCGGCCATGCATGTCGTTGCCATCTTCAATCCAGAAATAGGAAGAAACTCTTCAAAACCTGAAAGCACAACAAGAATATAACAAATGGAACAAAGTTAATGGGATACTTTGAGATGCATGGTGGCAGCAAATACACCAGTCCTTTTCTGGTGTTGACGTCAATTTGAACATGTGCACATTAGGTTAAATGGGATGTAAAAAAATGAAAAGGACAGGTAAAAGGAAGCGTCTCAAAAGTCTCTGTTGAAAATTATTGCCAGGTTATTTTCAAGATTTTTGTCTGCGCCTTATCTTAAACAACTTTGCTGGGATTTTTCTTGCATTGAATATGAGTGTTAAAAACTATAGAAGATAAGAAAGTTTCATATTTTATCTTTTTCTATAGGCACAAACATACATGTAAACATGTACTTGTACATGTACATGATGTATGTACATGCATGTACATACCGGTACATGCCATGATCAATTTCTACGTAAAATAATATCAAGATGCTCACCGATGAAAGTTGTCAAATTTTCTGAAGGTATCCTTCGTCATGCGTGTCATGGTGGAATGCCGTACACTCCGCATAAGAAGAAATGTAGGCCAACCTCCTCCACAGCGTCCGAGAGACAACCAATAGCTCTAGATGGCAAATTAAAGTACACATTCAAGTTCTTGTACAGTTACGTGACTTTTGTGTTTTTACACAACAAGAACAAGAGCATGCATTACATGGGTTTGGAGTAAACTCCGTACCCAACAACCACAAGACTGTTACCGACTCGGTCCCTAACTGACGGGGTCTGACCGTCTGAGACAGCATGGCCAACTCAGTTCCAGGTCAACTTGGTCCCAGGTACAAATGTATAAAGTCGGTCCAATGTCAACTAAGTCTCAAGTCATTTTAGTCCCAGGTCAAATTTGAAATTAATGGAAAAAATACTCTACAATTATATGACTAAGGGCGAAAAAGAAAAGCCTAATGACGGCCCTGGCAATGTAACCTACATGTAGGGCCTACATGTCAAATCCTTTGTTTACGCATTTAGAACATACAGTACACAGTTTCCTTGAGACGTTTTCAAGAACATTAATTAAATGAGCAATGTCAGGCTCCTGCCTGCAAAGAATGACCTCCATTCCTCCATCATCATGTTCCTGCATGATGCATGCCAGCAAATCCTGACCACGCTGACTATACATGAAATGTAAAAATCATATTGAAATTGGAGGATTCAGGACTGTTAGGATTAAGGAATGCATTGTGATTATCAGTGTTGGAGGTCTCGAGGCCGGCCTCGGCCTCGAGGCGGGCCTCGAGGCCGATTTTCATGGCCTTGGCCTCGGCCTTGGCCTCGGAGGTGCAAGGCCTCGGCCTCGGAGCCTTACGGCCTCGGCAAATCTGTCGAGGCCGGCTCGAGGCCGCCCATTTTGATGTGTTTTCTATTCTAATTAATTTTAATTTTTTACCGTATCAAACCTTCGAGATTCTGCCGCAGTGGGTTCCGTGAAACGAATGCATATACAATGTACGCACGAATGAACTGGAAATGGTTGCATTGAACGTACTCACGTACGTAGCATCTTCGCCTAGCCTGCGCTTCAGCTTTCCACGTGCGCGCGTGCAAGCGTTATAACTGTTACCGCGTGCCAGACTACATAAGTCTGGCACCAATCCCATCTGCGTACAATAACATGTGGTAGTAGACTGGTCTGGTTGCAGTGTTGTACACAATTTTCTTGTTTTGCCTCTGTACCCCGACCTTTAAAAATGATTTGCGGCAAGGTGCGGCAAGCTTAATCATTTCTTTTTATAGGCCACTGTTTCAGTAAAAGTCTGAACTTTCTGGGTACGATCGAGTGTACTAGTCCGTACCATTTTTTTTATAAAGATATGATAAAAACAGTTACGATTTATCAAGTAGATTTTATTTTTACACGGTGATTTAAATGAAAGTTCCGGCTCACATGGTAATGTTTGGCGCAAATGGTTGATATGGAAAGCGCGATTTCAGAATTCGTTTTTCCATCCAAATGAATGCAAAGTTCTGAAGGAATGTTTTAATAATAGGAGTCAGTATTCCTCGTGGTACCAGGATACTTTTTTTTGTATTTTTAGAGCCATGTTGATACTTATTACATGTATAAGCACGGTTTGAAATTGACTAATTTTGCGTGGTTACAGATATACGGCCAAAACCTCTGGACTCCCTACCTCTTGCCATGATCTTAAAATTCTTCGAAGCCATTGGATTCAAATCGGATGATCCGAGAATTCATGGTCATTTTGATGAACTGAGTGATATCATGCACGCATGTTCCGTGTTGCCATGTTGTTTGGAGCGGGATAATGCGTGGACACTTATCCCGTTGTGTGGAGCGGGATTGGAACTATGCTTTGCCCGTGCGTAACGGCGGGCCGTCTGGCATTGTCTGGTCGCATCGCGGTGTTTGCTCGGCGCGCGCCTGGACAGTGCGAAGGTCGGGGGAGGGGGTCGTAACTTTTTGGTTATGAGTGGTAAAAACCTGATGCAAAAATCAAGCTGTTGTTTATTTAATGGGGATTCCTATGATATTAAGCATTTTTGATAGGTTTTGAAAATAAGATTTATAAAACATGCTAAAAGTAAATAATGTAAATCTTACAGAATAGAAACTCAAAATTTGATTTAAATTGTTGTATCTCCAAAGGGCAAACACCTATGAGCCTGATTCAAACGCCATTGATTTTGTTGTGTAGTTTGCTTTCAGTGATACAAAACTTGAGATTTCTTTCTTTAAAAAATAAAATTTGCCGGACTCCCTACAAGAGGAAACCAAATGCAAGCTGTAAATTTGTAAGCCAGGCACTCCAAAAGTAGGTATAAGTGGGGGATACCAGACTTTGCCATAGGTCTGGGGGTAGTACAGGGCCAATGGGGAGAAGGGCAGGTACCAGACTTTATCCCTCCCCCTGATCCCTCCCCCTGATCCCTCCCAATGATCTCCCTCTCCCTCCCAATGATCTCTCTCCCAATGATCTCCCTCCCAAATATCTCTCTCAATATCTCAGTCTCGAAATAAGGCCAGGCCCTCTATATTTATATTTTTCATTTTTGAGCTTGTGTTAAATACGACTCGTACAAGTCTACTCCAACCCTGACTTGCAAAATATGAAGTGACTCAGGGTGACCATAGAGCTAGGACCCAGCTCTATGGGGTGACACACTTTTGCAGTTGGGGGTAAACATCTATTGAAATTCAATGGACCGTGATGAATTGCTTTTGTTAGTTGGGGCAGCCAGGATATGACTCATCGCAACGTCAGAAGCAAACAATGGTTGCTATTTTTAGTTCCTATATAAGCCAGATACCCTCACAGCGGATGGCCAGTCGGATTTATAAGGCGGAGTTCAGTGGTATCTCATCATATCCAGACTCGACAGCACTGTACAACTGTATAGCTTCATTTCCGAATACGAGCAGCTAAACTACCACAGACCAACTTTCAAAGGTAATTATAATACGCTTATAACGTGTATTTTTTATACATCAGGTGTCCAATATGTCAGGGTGATTTGTGTGTAAAAGGCGAAAACCATAGGCGTCTTTACTTGTCAGCGGCCCCGAACACGTTGTAGTTGCGTCTTTTGCAATTTAGCATGCCAGATGCGAGTAAGGATGATTAGGCCCCAAATTATTATTACTGTATGTTTGTGTGTAACAAAATTTACTTATTAAGGCCTATTTCTCCTTTTTTTCAGATGAACTGTCCATCTAGTGTTGTAGATGTTACATACGGGCAAGATTTCGTCACATTGGCAAACAGCATGGTCAACACGGTGGGTGAATGGATCGTGGTCAAAATAGGAGATTTGACTCAGCAGTTAAAAAATGCAAAAACCTTTTGATATATGACAAACCAAAAAGCTATTTAAATGAGCTACTTTGAATGACAACGAAAAAGCCACTCGGAGTGGCTTTTTACTGTATATATTAGGATGTATGAAAAGCTATTTAAATGAGCTAATTTGAACGACAACAAAAAAGCCACTCGGAGTGGCTTTTTACTGTATATATTAAGATGTCAGAAAAGCTATTTAAATGAGCTAATTTGAATGACAACAAAAAAGCCACTCGGAGTGGCTTTTTACTGTATATATTAAGATGTAAGAAAAGCTATTTAAATGAGCTACTTTGAATAACAACGAAAAAGCCACTCGGAGTGGCTTTTTACTGTATATATTAAGATGTATGAAAAGCTATTTAAATGAGCTACTTTGAATAACAACGAAAAAGCCACTCGGAGTGGCTTTTTACTGTATATATTAAGATGTCATAAAAGCTATTTAAATGAGCTAATTTGAATAACAACGAAAAAGCCACTCGGAGTGGCTTTTTACTGTATATATTAAGATGCCAGAAAAGCTATTTAAATGAGCTAATTTGAATAACAACGAAAAAGCCACTCGGAGTGGCTTTTTACTGTATATATTAAGATGCCAGAAAAGCTATTTAAATGAGCTAATTTGAATAACAACGAAAAAGCCACTCAGAGTGGTTTTTTACTGTATATATTAAGATGTCATAAAAGCTATTTAAATGAGCTACTTTGAATAACAAAGAAAAAGCCACTCGGAGTGGCTTTTTACTGTATATATTAACTGTATATATTTACTGTATATATTTGAATGACAACAAAAAAGCCACTCGGAGTGGCTTTTTACTGTATATATAAAGATGTAATAAAAGCTATTTAAATGAGCTAATTTGAATGACAACAAAAAAGCCACCCGGAGTGGCTTTTTACTGTATAAATTATAATATATGAATATCAAATAAAGAGAACGTATGAATGATAGTTTTATCGAGTCCAAGTTCAATTATAATACAAAATCAATAGAGGGCGCTAATGGATATCAAAATAATATAAACAGAGGGTGGTATAATAAATGATCGATTTATCGAGTCCAAGTGCAATTATAATAAAAGAAATCAACAGAGGGCGCCATTCATTGGTGGTGAGGTATTATAAACAGAGGGCGGTATTTAATTTTATGATAAGGGTTATTGTACCGATAAAAAACAGAGGGCGCTATTAACGGGCACTAAGAGATCTGATTTCAATTATATAAAGAAACAGAGGGCGATATTTAATTCTTTATTTAAAAATGCAATCATTTTTATTTAAAGTTTATTAAATAGATGGAATACTTTGGGACGTCACAACTTGGGGATAAGTGCGATCATCATATAATCATCGAGAATGGTTTTTTAGTTTGTGAAACGTGCGGTGAAATAGTCTCACGTTACTTTGATTTTTCGGCAGAAAATGCGCAAGAAGATCGTATCAATTGGTCAATTTTAAAAAGAAACAAAAGAAAAACTGTGGAGAAACTTATTTTTTCTGTTTGTCCAGAGCAAGACTTGGAAGATGTCCAAGAAACAATCAACAAATATAACGAGCTCGTTAATTACAAAACATTGAGGGGAAATGGTTGCGTCAAACGCTCGTTAATAGCGGGGTGTTATCATCACGTCGTTGGATTAGACAAAGAACGAGTTAGAGATTTA